AAAAGCATGTTTACCTCATAGGGAAGAATTTTCATTACTTTTTATTTTATCCATGGTTTTGGTTGCAGAATGAAAATAAGATGATACCAAAATACAGATAATGTTTTATCAGAAGACTGAAATTCGCTATCGTTAAACTGCAAATCTCCATCGAGGGGAAAAGGTTGTTTAAATAATAAGCAACACTAATAAATCCATGTATTTTTTTCTCTGTTATATAGAGTGGAGGATATGTGCTTGGATTTAAAGTAGACCCTGTGGAGAAACTGCAGGAGGCAGTGAAAGAAATTAATTCACTGCACAAAGTTTATTCAGCTAACCCGATATTTGGAGTGGATTATGAAATGGAAGAAAAGGTACTTCCACATTTATTTTAAATTGGATACAATATTGCGTTAACAGCAGTGATAAAAATAGATTAAACACATTAGTTATATGGATTTACTTACTTCAGTGTTTAAATTTGCAGCCTCAGCCTCTTGAAGAATTAACAGTGGAGCAGGTTCAGGATGATGTGGAAATTGAACCAGATGAACATACAGATGCTTTTGTGGTAAGCTGCTCCACAGAAAACAGAAACCAAACCAGGCAATGTACAGCTGTAATCCTCTAGTAAAGATAAGCTGCAAGTGAACTTGCTGTATTTAAAACACACCTTACATGGCTTTTATTCAAAATCCCACAAGATTACTACAAGAATTGATTCTGTATTTGGATTGTTAACTTTAGAACAAATTATTATTCAAAATAAATAGTAGTAGATATTTAAAATAGTTGCTGTATATAGGTTCTTAACATATTAAGATGAGGAGCAGCTTGAAAACCAGCAGTATAATACAATCAGATCCATTATATTAAAACAAGTCTTCCTTGTTTTGTGGCTGATTAATAACTGGTGACATCTATACACTCAACAGCCATCTAGAATTCCAACTTGAAAGACTTTTAGAAAGGGAGCAGTAATTTTGAGGCACTCTTGGTAGCCTTTGCACTCCTCACAGTACCAGTTGGGTATTTCAGGAACATTTCCTTGGGAATGCAGTATGCTGCCCAGGGGACTGATGAACTTTCTTCTAGGACTTTCCAGATTTACCGTGCAGCCCAGTAAGACCCTGTTGCGTGACTGACTGCACGGGTACGCTGCACATGTTTTCAAGTACTGGCCCTGACCTCTTGACACTTGGCATGTTTTCATAATTCTCTGAAATTTGGGTAAACTGACGGTACCAACACCAATCATTTCCACCCTGTTTTCTTTTGCTGTCATTTATTGATGCAAATAAGCTCTTATCTCCTCCTTTCCCTCTTTTCCTCACTTTTTGCCTTTTTTGTCTTTTCTGCACAGTTTTATTCAGTCTTCAACACAGTTGAAGACCTTTTCCTTCAGAGTAGATTCTCTTTGCTCTATTGGTGCTTTTGTCACCTGGATTAAATAACTCTGCTTTGCGTATTCTAAAACAAAAACTGGGAGGTGTAAGTGAATAGAAGGTGGTTGCTACAAGAGACGCAGCTCACCCAGGACTCAAGGACTGGCTCCACACCAGTATTCCACAACACTCGGTGACTGCGATGCTGTTCTGTAGAGTCTTGTATAGCTTGAGATCCAGCTGAGCAGGAAAATGCTTCCTCTGCTGCCTTTGCCAGTCCGCAAGATGAAGCAAGATGAGGCTCTTCCTGGTAAATACGGAGATCTAGAGCCTGCTGGTCCAGAGACATCTGGAGCTGTAGGTACTGTCAGAGATCTCAGTTCCTGAAGAGTTTGAGACTTAATTTCCCCACACACAGAATAGGAAAGGTAGTCTGTCTTTCCCAGATCTCTGTCTGAGAGTAGAATAATGTAGGTAACTGTTCAGTTACTCTGTGTTTATTTCATGGATTGGGTATGGTATTAACTGAATTTGGGTGTTACTTACACATTTTAAGTAGTGTTCTGAAATGGAAAAATAAATGCTGCTGCATGTGAGGCAGAAGATACTAGGATGCTGTCAGTTTGCCTTCATATTAACGTTTTATTTTGTATAAAGTATTTGTCACTGTAAAAAATGTACTATTTCAGCAGAGAAGAAACTGTGGTCTTGTTTATAGAACAAAAATAAAAACCATACAGACTGGGTTGTTGAAGAACACGTAACCAAATGCAGTCTTGACCCCAAGGAGTTATTGGGAGATTTGTTTTTCAACTGTATTTTTTTGTCGAGGTTTTGAGTTGGTTTTCTTTCTTTCTTTTGCAGGCTTACTTTGCTGATGAAAACAAGGTAAGAACATCTCTTTTCACCCTGTCAAATTCGTGCTGTTAAAATGGGATAATCGAGTTTAACAGTAACTTCTGTTTTATTTTTGTTTTTTTTTTCTCATATCCTGTGCATTCGAAAAAGCAACATGATCGGGAACCTGTTTTTTCAGAAGAACTGGGACTTGCAATAGAGAAGCTAAAGGACGGATTCACGCTCCAGGGCCTCTGGGAAGTGATGACCTGATTAGATTGGTAATCCCAGTTCTTCCTGGGCTTGTGAGACCTGTAGAAGATAATTTAGAAATACCAGAGTAGCAGAGAAAGAAAATGCCAAAGCTAAAGAGCAGCTGAATATTGTATCATATGCTGTCAGGATATGTCATGGAGGAAGGATTCTTCAAAACCCTCGTACGTGTAATAGCTTTTTAGTTACTGCATTGTAAGCAGTAGGAGCATAACCGACCTGTGAGATAAAAAGAGGCAGGGCCCCAGCTGGTAGAAGCCCCACCCCCTGCAGTCACGTGTTCCACAAGCCCCTGAAGTCCCGCCCTTCCTGTGGTCACATGATATAAGGAGCAGAGAAGTCCCCCCCTCCTGTCAGATTACAGGAATGTGGAAATCCTTCCCCGCTAGGTGCGTGGTGGCTGCCATTTTATTTCAGCCACCGTTATGTAAAATGTCATTCCCCACATGTTTTCATAGTGCTCTGTGATTGGCTGACTGCAGTTTTGATGCTGATACCCCATGTGTCCTCAGGCATTTGATCGGCAGGACCAGCCACACCATTCTGCATCCCCTAGAAGTTTTTCAGAGCAGGAAGCCCCCTCCCCACGGGGTCTGCCGTGGTGTTTCAACCACCAT